TGGTAACCAATCAGTAATGCAAATGATGAAAAACATTATTTCACTATCAAATGGTACTGCATTGTTTCACTTAGTAGTCCCTCAATAAACTTGTCCACAAGGATATATTCATGATCTGCAGTCCATTGATGGATAAGCTATTCAATACAGTGTGTAGCACATAGGCACCAATATTCTCAAAGGGAATTCTCCTTTGAACCTTGAACTTGACTCGATAGATGGTTTACCGTGTCATCGCGGCTCAGTAGTGATTGTGTTGCGGTTACAAATCTTATACTTACTGATATGTTCCATGCCATTGAAGGCTGAGTCATTCAAATTCAGAGTCAGGTGTTAGTTACATTTCCTGCTCCAGAGTCCATCTGTTTCAGGCACAAACCTATCTGAAAAGCCGGATGAAACAATTCATGTCATCCTTTCGTCATTTCCTTAAAAGTTGGAGGTGATATCTGCTTCACTTCCCTCAAAGATGCCTGTGATCACGGCATAAGCCTCCCAAATATTCCAGACTGAGCTGTTCTGATTACTAGGTTGCAGACTGCCGATGTACCTGCTGTATCTCACCAAATGGTTCAACACTGCCCCACATATCACCACCTTAGCCTGTTTGCACTTGCTGTTTTCTCTACTGGTGAAGGAGCTCCTATTGGTTAACAATATCCATCAATGACATTCTTTGTATATTCTGATTAGGTGGTATCACTGATCAGAGCCAGGGCAGTTCTACCCTGGCTGAAAATTGCTCTGTCCTGTGGAGACTACGACAATCAGTTTCATCATGGTGTTTCTCAGCTGACTGAGACTCCCACATGCTGAGGACAAACTTTAGGGTGAGTATCCTCTCAGTTTCCACGAGTGCCACTGATAGTGGCAATTCTTCTTCCATGAAATGTGACTGCGAGAAGATGTTTGTCAGAAATATTTTTGTAATATTGGTAAAAGTCAAACATTCAGTAGAGGATTTCTTTTAGACACATTTGTTTTCCCTGATAATCACTCATGTCCAGTCTCTGTCCCCACCTTCTTTACAAAAGTTCCTCACTCTGTGGAAAATGTCATTTTGAAAAACCAGTCTTGAAATTCCTTAAGTTTCTATATAAGAAAATGCAGCACATACTGATGCTTAGGTGCTATCCTTGTGGAAGACGTTAATAATTCTGAAGTTCTTATCCCTCAGGCTATTTGTATTCCGCATCCAAACAAACGCAATTTTCTATTACAGAATATAATATCTAGTTGTAATCTAGGCTTTGTTTATTATCGTCCATAATTAGAAAAATGTAAATTTTGAGTTTTTCAGATTACGGGCCCTAATTTGGCTATTGACTCGTTCAGAACACAGGTTGTTTGATTAAATGGATATTAAGACTGCAAGAATTTGACTTTACATTTATACACAGACTTAGAAAAATAAATGTATTAGATGATTTGTCTCGAAACTCTGTTACACATAATAGCGTTGAAAATTTCCTTAATATACTTTCTAGAATTATCCTATCTTTCATAAACATCATAAATTAACCATTATTATTTTTCGTGTATAATGCTCAATGTTGACTGCTTCAACTGACAAAACCAATAACTGACCCCACTCTTAAATTCATTTGTTTTCTGTTGAATTTTGCGCAAAGCTACCGGAAAGTTATTAGCACTAGCCTTACCTAATATAGAAGTGATAGGCTAGATGGAAGTCAGCTAGTCAACACAACCCACCGCCAACTCTTGGGCTACTCTTTTAACAATAAAAAATGGAATTGACCATCATGCTATAACACCTCCATGGCTGAAAAGGCGAGCATGTTCAAATAAAGGATTCGAACTTTCGATCCCTTAAATTGCGAGTCAAGTGCCCAACCACCTCCGCTCTTAAAGGAATAGAAAATAATGCCCCGAACGGTAACAATATTCACATAACATATAACACCCCAATATGATCTCCTTCATATCGTCAATCAACGTACAAATGAATTTTATCGTACGAAAGCACACTTAACTTAAAACATTTCAGAATCTTTATGAGCAACAGAAATAAACCACTACCATAATCATCCATTAGCTGTCAATCTTAGAATAGCTAAAACATTTTCTTGTGTACAAGAAAGGTTTCTGACCTGATAGTAGATAACGTATAATAAAAAATATGTTCATTTTTGTTATGTATGCCAGTTTTCTGAATCTTCTCGACAACTTGCTGGTGATCTTATGATGTCGATTTATTCTAAGATAGCCATGATAATTTCGTGGCCTTTAATTTATTCGTTCATTACCATACGTTGCTAAAGGATACCAGTACATGTTTCTGTTTTTGATCATTTCAACGAGTGAATAGAGGTGTTTCTGTCAGAGAAGCTATTGTAAAAAATTATTAATAACTACTAGTTTATAAGATAATTGCGTGGCATGATGCACCTACGAATTCAATAATTGAAAATAATTGAACTCAGCTTGTAAGAGATCTTCTAAATTCAGTAACTGACACAGTGAGTGTTACACATAAACTTACGATTGCTTACCATCCACAAAATAATTTCTCAGAAAGAGTTAATCGTAACCTTGAAATGATGCTAAAATATTTCGTTCAATCTAAATATGATCTCCTGCATATCTTCAATCAACGTACAAATGAATTTTACCGTACCAAAGCACACTTAACTTAGAACATTTCAGAATCTTTATGAGCAACAGAAATGCTGGAGAATTCCCTGGGTTTTTACTTTATGGGAAAGATTTTGAAATTTTGTCTTGATTTATGTTATTGTTGCTGTTCGTTATAAATTTCAAACTACGAATTCTCTATATTCAAGTAAGACTTCATTATTAAGACATTTAATGTAGTGTTATTCTTTTGTTTTGCAAGAATTATATAAAGCCCTTGCACGAAAGAAAAAAAAATCAAGATATTATGATGATTTAGTTTCAGATTTAGTTCGAGTTCCTGCTCATGCATGTTCTTTTGGTGATATTGGTTTCACTGCAAAGCTAGCTCCTATATGTTTTGATCTAATTTGAATTCATGGAAAAACTACATGGTGTGACTTATAAGTTGAAGAGTGAAAGGATTTTCATTTTTAGCATACCATGTCTCTGATATATCCTTTTGATATATTGGGGGAGTCCTAAGAAGTCCAGGTAGTGCAACATGCCCATTTTTGGGGAGAAGTTGGGTTTATCACGAAAAACGGGAATTCACTGTAACTTTGCTATAAATAGTCAAATATGAGTAAATTATAGTTTAAAGTATTTTTATGGCGTATTGTATAACATATTAAGAATTTATAAAAATCCAAGATGTAAAACATCTTTCTTTTTGGCTGAAAACTTTGTTTTTTAAAGAATCTACGGTTTATTTTCAGGTTCTCGCACAATTTAGGTTTGCTTTCGCTATAAACATAACAAACACGTCAGTTATTAATGATCTTTGATTGTAACTCAAAAGTGAACACAGTTAATAGTGAGCAACTAACTGAAGAGAGTACATTCGTAACTAACGACGTTTTATATTGCAATTAATAAAAATAATGCTTATAATAACTTATAATTTTAAACTGCACATCAGTATTTTCGTCGCCCATGGTAAATGCCAATTGAACATTAAACGTGAATTCTGTCTTTTATTGTGTATAATCTATAATAATAAAAGGGCGTGTCTGTGGATCTCTGTGTCTGTGTGTGTGGTGATCGCCATAACTCCAAGAGAAAAAACCTAGACACCTGAAATTCTGCACCCATACTAAGTGGACCCTGAGGGTTTGCACATAAGTATTATTACTTATCTGCGTGCATGCGAATCTTTTTATGCGAAAAACCACATAGAAAAGAAGTGGTTTCTTGTATAACAACTTCTAATATATAGAAAAGCCAGTGCGTTTTTGTAACAATGCATTCCAACGATGGCTTTTATGTTAACAGGCTGTGTGGTGAAAGTATAAAATAAAATGTATAAGCTACAAAATTGAAAAAAATGTTTTTTGTTTTTAATTTAGAGGCTCCGTTAACTAAAAAGGTTGTTTTTTATTATTTATTTTTATTATTTAAGTTTAAAACTGGAGAACAAGTCAGAAGGGATGTTACCTTTATAAATAAGCCACATCCTGTAAAGGAGAGAAAAAAAAGTATAGAGGTTATACTTTTATGCTGAAATGCGTTCCGAATACACACATACTGTCATAGTCATCTAGAATAAATCAACCTAACAACCCGAGCGAAGCCGCGTACTTTCGCTAGTATTTAGATAATTTGTGGAAATCCACAAATTCTCTGAATATATCGTTTGAAGTTACAAGAGACTACAATTGTAAATAAAAAAAATACATATACACAATGATGTAGTGGTAATTAGGTTCAATACCTAATGTCTGGACTAAGATACTTAAACGGGGAGATATAAAGAAGAGGGTAACATGAGTAGGTCAGCTGTCAGAGCAATTGTACAGACTATATCATGTAATTTACATGATCCTGTTAATGTTATTAGTAATAAGTAAATAAACAGTTCGCATAAATCTACAAAGTCCTCGTACTGTTTTGAGTTATTCGAAACAAATAAACGAAAGTCTTAAACGTAGATAACACTATGTGTATATATTTTTTCACATTAATTTACCTATATTATAAGTTTTAAAAGACAAGAATGATGTTGAAGTTCTAGTGCCGTGTGCCATTTGGGAATGGCTACACAAACAGTAGCTTCGAGTGATAATTAAAAAGCGATATATTGTATAAAGGATTGCTTACACTAATATATATTTATAAATAAAAAGCCCATCATTGGCACAGCGGTATGTCTGTGGATTTACAACGCTAGAAACCGGGGTTCGATACCAGTGACGGCCCGAGCACAGCTAGCCCATTGTATAGCTTTGTACTTAATTACAAGCAAACAAACAAATATAAATAAAAATGGTTAAAATCATTCTGCAAAATTTAAAAAATATGTGAGCGTGTTTTAATTCACCAAGGTGATTCGGCAGATGGCAGTAAAGTAGGAGTATTGGCAGATGAGTAAATTAGCGCCAATTTTATTAGTGATAGAGAGGTTAAGGTTCATAACAGAGTTGTTTAGGTTGTTATAATAAGCGAAATTTAATTTGTTTGTCACTATAAATAAATATTTTCTTTTCCGTAATGGGTTTGTTAGACGACTGTTACACATATTTTGGTACAAAGAAACTTTATTTTGTTCTAGGAACTCAAGAAGGTGCATCGGAGAAAGAATGTAGGTACCGAATACTGACTAATCATTCTAATGACATAATGTAAACTTTACAAAAAAGTAAAGACTAAAATTATTTATTGTTCCATATAATACAACGTTAATAATAATTAAGACTAAGAGATTAATGTAAGAAACTGATACTATCAATTATTCATTTTGAGACTTAATCTATTAATAAATGTATAGTTAAACCTAGAGCTGTCCTTTGTAAACTGTAATACTAATATTTTGTCTTTTTTTTTTTTAAAGTTTTTAGGCTTTGGTTTTATTTTAAATTTTATTTAACTGTAAGTGTCTTTATTCATCTGACTAACGTAAACAATGACAGTTAATTACAAAATGCGTGTGAAAAAGATTGGGCTAGTAGTAGTAATGTAATTTATTGAATTAAACTGTAGAAAAATAACCTTTCGTCATAAGGCTTATCTCAACCTCATCTGTTTAATAATTTGAAATTTCCATGACTGGGTGTTTTGGAAGAATTCAGAAAACAATTAACACATATTTTTATAGTGATTTATCTTTTCTGATTTGTAGTACTTGCACCAAGGCTGTTAAGTGTACATATTTTTAAGTATGAGTGTATACAATCACTGTAAATATAATGCAAACACTGGGCATAATTTTTGAGCTAATAATGTGATACTCACTGTGATACTGGTTATGGAAATCAAAACACAAAAAATCTTAAGATTAAGCATGAACATTCCTCACCTATTTTTGTGGGGAAAGAAAATCCACCATTGAATATTCCATTTTGTGAAACCAATTTTGTTTTGTTTTTTGTAATCATTTTGAAATGCAAGTTCAAATAATAAGTCTTGTTCTTTCCATTGCCACACATCACATATTTCTAGTCTGATAATGGCAGCACTATTTCAGTGGTAAAAAGCAATCTTATGTTCCTGCTTTAAGTTGCATTTGAGATGATATCTTTGTAAAAAGAATGGCTTCATAAGATGAATGAAGCATATATTAAAAATGGCTTACAGATAAGTGTTAGGTTAAATTAGAAATAGGGTTATCATCATTTTCAGCATATTTGTCAAGGCATAACATGTGAACAACAAGGAACCATTTGGTCCTTTAAAGCTGTCTGTCAACACCCCACTTAAGAAAAGTGAAGCTTTAAACCCACTCTTTATTTCTCAAGAAATCATTTATTCCCATCTTAAACTTTTGCAAAGTGCTGTCCTTCACTACATCCTATG